ATGCTTTTGTATGTTATTGTTGTTAATTAATGTTCTCAGAGTAAGAACAAAATACTGCTAAGTCACAAGAAAAGAGATTTCTTTTGACTTAGCAATGTTTTGTTCTTTAAATTCTTATACAAGTCAAAAGCAGATGAAGTTTAGTTTATTATATACTATGTATATTGTTTGTATCACTAAACTTTTAATGAAAATGCAATCATTTAAATTGACATAGAAATTTATAATCTGAAATTTAAGATATATTTGAAAATTAACCTATATCAATCAATGTTTTCCGAATTGCACGCGTCTCATTCTGCATATTTTATGTTCTTTAACACATAATATATGGTTCAATGATCTAATGCCTTCAATACATCGATATTTACAATTCTACTTTACCTCGTCATCATCGCTTATCATCGTGATTGTTATGATCATGATTATTATTATGATAAGTCATCATAACAATCACGACGATGAGGTAAACAATAATAAAAGATATCGATGTATTGAAGGAATCCTACCATTGAACTATATGTGTTAAAGAACATAAAATATTCACGACGAGACACGTGCAATTCGGAATACAGTGGTGTGTTTAAGTTGGTTTTCAAGAATAGTTTAATTTTCAGATTATATAATTCTTTACCAATTTTAATGGTTGTATTTCTTTAATGAAGTATATGATAAAATAAGCAATATACATTGGTATATAATAATCTATAGGTACGTTTCACAATGGTTTTCTATATTAACTATGATCTAATGTAATTTATTTGCTGTTGGATTTCGAACCCAATACCATATATATCACCATGATTGTTAAGCATAACCGTTGTGATATCACACACGTTTTCCAGTATACTACAACGGTCCTAAGACCGTGACTGTTAGTAACAAATTTACAACAACACTCTACACAACAATGTCTGGACCTGCGTGATTATATGGATTTTCCAACCATTACTAAATGGGTTTTTCATAGTAGTGACACGAAGATTGTGAGCAGATTGGTGAAGCTGGAAGATTCAAGAAGCGTGAATCGAGTAAATATTTTGCATAAGAGTTTAACATTAAGTTGTATAAAAGTAAAGATCCAGATAGGAGATGTATTCTTCTCAGTATTGTTGTGGCTTATTGGTTGTATAAACTCTTGCAATATTTATAAAAATAAAAAGGAACAAAACAGGTTTCAATGGGAAACCATTGAAGAGTGGAGTAGGCAAAGCGAGGACGAATGTTGAACTGCTATATATTCCGGTATACTCTCTCTCTCTCTCTCTCTCTCTCTCTCTCGCATTTAATTTTCGTAAGATTTTTGCATGCTTAAATATAGTTCATTCTTAAATATAAATCATTACTTTCCATGTTGGGTTACCATCTTCAATTTTTCTTTTCATTATAAAGATCCTTACGTGATGTATTTTGATTAAATTAAAGAAAAAACATGTGTTTGATCTTTATTTTGATTTTTTGCCTCAAATCCAGTATCAACCTTACTCAGGGTAAGAGTAGGGGTATTAAGACAGCCTGATGCGACGAACATGTCATTTTGCTCGTATTTTTTACGAAACGAGTTAAAATTTTAAACCCCCGATCTCTAATATGTTCCTTGAGTCAGTCAAGGATAACATTAGGATTCCACATAGTTTCATTGAGCACTAACTGACCTTTAGAACCTTAAATCAACTCATCTTGGTCACTATAAAGTAGTGAGAAGGTCGGCTTTGGTGCAGACTGAAGTTGGTTGATACTCGATGCTACACTCATTAAGATTGGACTTTCGGGATATTTCGGTTGCAATTCAGATGCTTGAGCTGAAACAATGCCTGAGAGAAAGATCAATGATATGAGATCCCTAGAACCCGATTACTATTGCTAGGACAGGTTGAGCCAACTAAACTTCAAAATGATACTTACCTATAGACCTCATGCAAGCCTTTAAACCTAAGGTCTTTGTGTGACTTATTTGTGTTTGCTATTTTGTTTTAAGCATGAACATAATATCATAAACATCGTAACATAGCATTTGAACTAACCATTTCAAGGACCTAGGGATTTATCTCTTCTTTGTTTTGTAGGTTACGGCTTCCGCTCGCAGAAATACCATCCGGATCAACTTCGTAGGAATACCTTCCAAGCTTAGAGAATTGGTCTCAAGGGTTCCTGAAAGTTCTCAGTTCAATAAAAGACATAGTCACTTGCTCAATTTGGTTACTGCCAGTTTTGAAGAAGGTATGATGAGCGCCCTATTTCAGTTCTTCGATCATAAACATCATTGCTTCACTTTTCCCGATTATCAGTTGGTGCCCACGTTGGAAGAATTATATAAGTTACTTGGAGTTCCTATATTGGAGAAAATACCCTTCACTGGTTTAGAACAAGATCCAAAGCCTAAAGATGTTGCCACAGCTTTACACCTAAAACCATCTGACAATGAATCTAATTGGGAAAAGAGAAGTAGGGTTAAAGGTCTTCTTGCAAAGTTTCTGATAGAGAGAGCTCAGTTGTTCCTAGATGCCATGAGTTTCCATGGTTTTGAGGATATCTTGGCCCTCTCGATCTATGGTTTGGTATTGTTCCCTAATCCATACCAACTTATAGATGTGAGCGCCATCAATATTTTCCTTACTCACAATCCAGTGCCTATATTGCTCGGGGGATATTATATATTCTCTCCATACCCGTACTATGAAGAAACGAGGAACTCTTATATGTTGTATACCTTTGCTCTATAGGTAGTTTATTTCGCACCTTCCTCGATCAGTAATGAAGAATATGTTAGGCTTAAGATGGTCTCAAAGGTTGATGCCTCTCTCTCACTCTGATATCTATTGGTGTTCTCTCTCTCAAGAAGACGTCTCTATTATTGATTATTGTAGATAATTTCCTAATGTGCCACTCCTTGGCATTAGGGAAGGAATCACTTACAACTCTTCTCTAGCTTTACGTCCGTTTGGTTATGCACGAAGAGACGGTTCTCATGATATCCTCATCTAGGGTATTGTGTTCGACTATGACAACGATATGCAAGGTTATCATCAGAGGTTCATACGCGCTTGGGGCATGGTAAAGAAGATTGATGGTAAGACTTTGGGGCACATGAATTCCATCCCTTTGGAACCTTACCTCAAATGGGTGCGAACTCGTGCTCAAAGTCTTATGATGCCATATCCTGCCATCTTATCGGTGATCTTAGAGCCTATTGTTCAAGGGGACGAGTCTTGCATTATTCTTCATCCTGATATTCCAACAAACTTTGAAGAGCTGCAAAGGTCTTAGATTCAACTCAGGGAAGAACGAGACACCTTTGAGACCTAATTATACACAAGTGAGAAGAAAGTGTTGGAACTGATGAAGCAGCTTCACGAGGAGCAGAGCCTTAATGCCTATGTCAACACAAAGAGGAAGCGTCCATAGGAGACTTAAGAGTTTTAGAAATGACGAACCAATCTTCAGCACGAAAAATATTCTAAGAACATTCATTGACGAGATAAATGTCAACTGTAATCTGACGAGGCTTGCTAGAGATACCTTGATCCCATAACCATAGAACCAATGATATATATGCATGTAATGATGAAATATAAGCCAAAAAGGTCGAAATGAAGAGGGTAAATGTTGGGGTACAACAACTGCCCCTGTTCAATCTTCTTAAACCTGAAGAGTTAGATTGACACGTCCGCCATTCTTGACTTGAAGATAGAAGATGATTGAATACTTAAGTATCTATTTTAGTGGGTTGACTTTCACTCGGTTGAGATTTTTGGCTGAGGTGAAGAATGAACTTTATGCTAGTTCCTTCTTAAATATAGATCATTACTTTCCATGTTGGGTTACCATCTTCAATTTTTCTTTTCATTATAAAGATCCTTACGTGATGTATTTTGATTAAATTAAAGAAAAAACATGTGTTTGATCTTTATTTTGATTTGTTGCCTCAAATTCAGTATCAACCTTACTTAGGGTAGAAGTAGGGGTATTAAGACGGTCCGATGCGACGGACATGTCATTTTGCTAGTATTTTTTATGAAACGAGTTAAAATTTTAGACCCCTAATCTCTAATATGTTTGTTATGTCCTGTCTTTTTTGTAAACTTTTACGGACGTAAGAATTAATATAAAATTTTATAATTTTTAGACTAAATGTGTGGAGCGTCCACGTGCTCCCCCTTCTTTATTTTGTGGAACAAGTCAATATTTTAAACCCTCGCCTTTCATAATGTGTATCCCGTCCCAAACTTTTGCGAAATGAAACTAAACGGAAAATACATGTCCATTTATCACAATGCTAAGTAGGAGTGAGTTCATTTTTCAAAGGCATTTTATTTAAGTGAAAATGTACACGAAACAAAATTATGTAACATCTTTTGAAACAATTATGTAACAACCAATAAAGACATGTTTGACAGCACAAAGTTCAAGTTTAGCAAGAAGTTTATGTTGGTGAGCAAAAGTCATATATCCAAATATTTTTAATGATAAATCAACTAAAAATAAAAGAAATGAAAAAAATATTCCAAGAAACTTAGAAAAGGAGATTAAAATAGCATAATACAAGATGAAATAACAGTCTATTAAATGTGCACTTGTCGACACAACTCCACCCTATAAATATTTTGGAACATTGATTTAGTCTGTAAATAAATCTTATTGTTTGGAATCTTATACAATAAAACCCAATTAATTTAATTTTTTAAAATTGTAATAATTTAAAAATCTAAATTTGATTGAATTCAAATGCATGTTTTAATTTGAGTTGATTATTTAATTTTCAATTCGTTTATTAATGCACATATATTAATTTATTAAGCATTTAAGCACTAACTTGGTTTCCAAAATAATTAAAAGCAAATGCAGTTAAATTAAACTTGAAAATATATGTGTGGTCCATTTGCATCCTGAGCTTCAAAGAGAGTCACACGATAAGATAAGGTTAGAAGTTCCAATTCTCAACTCATCACACATACACACACACTTGAGAATTGTTATCTTCAGTTCATTGTGAGGGAGATATGGCGAAATCTGGAAATTTGGTATCCCAAAGAAGTTTTAGCCCAATATTCAATCCATGCCACACTGCTTCCAAGGGAAAAACCTTCAGATTTCTCTCTCTGTTTCACACTTACAATAATTCTAATGTTAGTGCAACTACTATCACAGCTTCTACCAAAAGAAAAGGCAAATTGCAATCTCCATTGGTAACTCTCTATTCACTCTTCACTCTCCTTCCTTATAATCTGTCTTAAGATTTCATTTGTTTTTAATGTTCAAGATTGGGAAGAAACCGGGTAGGGCTTCCCGCCCTCTGATCACAATATCGCCGTCTGACGGGCAATATGGCGAGGAATGGACGCGTGATTATCTTGTAACTTTGCGAGACCTACATTTAGAGCATTTGATTGGAGCAGATGATGATCCGCGTAAGAATGCACAAGTATTCATCAACCTCTCCATCCAAAAGGTGCTTTCATCTCAAACATTTTATCTTGACTTGTCAGTGGAAATTCTAGAGATAAGTTGTGGTTTTTGTAACCAAAGGAAGTGCCACAAATGGTTAAGGATTCAAACTTTCACTTTCACTTTCTTATCAATGAAACTTCAAATCCATCCATAATTACCAAATTTCAGTTCTCTCATGTTTCAAATTCACATCACTAGATTATGTTGATGATTTCACAATTAAAATTCATTGGATTCTACGACTTCAAAAATATATAAGTGGCTCCCATGAATTTTATCACTCAAACCATCAACATATCACTATTTCTTAGCAAAAAAATAAGATTTTTTCTGCACTTACTATTTCATTTCTAATACTTTATGTTAATGACAAACTATTAACTTTTCATTGTGTCTTCATTGACTAGAATTAATACTTCAAAATTTCAAATTTATTTGTATACTCACTTACCAACACTTGTAAATGGTAATGTCAGCATGTTGGCTTTGGCTATTCAATAGATGCAAGAATCACCACATCCTTCACTTCAAAATGCTGCAACTGTTCTTCTCCATATTGCAGACAGGTATTTCCTTTCATTATGAACTCATACTAGTGCCTTGGTTTCAGATTTATCACATACCTTGACAATAAAATCTTGGTTCTCACTTTGTGGCTTGACCGATGATTCCAGCTCGATATAGAATTTAACCTATGTGTTCTCAAGGCTCCAAGTAGAGTTAAAAGTAAGAGACCGCTACCTGAAATTGGAGGCGACCCTTATGTGAGTACTTCTCTAGATCAGATAGTTTCATTGTTTTTCCGCACATAGATAGAAATTACTTTCAAATATTTCTTTGATTCAGATAACTTGCTCAATAATCTAACACACCTCTTCATATAATACAGGTCATATATACTAGACCCGGATGCCAAATTGATCTCGATTCTTTTGTACGAGATGCCATCAGCCTAGACTCACCAGTAAAAGTATATTTACCAGAATTTCAATTCCAGATTTTACATGTTACAAAATTTTGATTTTGGGAGTCCCCATAACTTTTTTTTTTTAAAATTCTTTTGCAGCACACTTGCTCGGAGTTGTGCGAGAAACCTAAGGGTACTATACTATGTAAGCATTTCTTTTAACAGAAAACTTCATGGAAACTAGCAATGTTACTGTAATTCAAGGATGCAATACAACAAGAACAAAGCAACATTGAAAATGAAAAATTCAAGAATAACTTATCCACTGCTGTTTTGTTTTTCAGATGCAACTGGGCAAACTAAGGCTTCCTTTGATGAAAGATGGTCAAAACTATTGGAACTAAAGAAGAAGCTTTTATGATTCATGACATTAAATACAAAGACGTTTCATCTTTAGAATAATCATCAGATTGCAAATAGATTGTATGCATAATAATACATTGATGAACAATATCCTGGTACTTCCAGTTGGTAATTGTAATTGTCACCAATCACAGGCAAAAAAGTTAATACTTTCAACTATCATCCATACTGAGTACGAGCCGAGCTTTCAACGAACACGATCCACAAGGAAGAAGAATCACCGATCCTGGTAAAGTATCAGCATTGCGTATAGACACGCTGCTTTCATCTCTCAACAACATATATCCCATTTTCTGCAATTCCAACGAGTCCACAGAGAAGTAATCACGTTGATAAAACAGTCCCAATATTTCGCCAGCATCTTCAACTGTCATATCATGTAAGCTTAAATTTTGGGCAACTTCTGAAGCCAATAAATCCTCTCGCTTTGAATTTTGCAGCTTCTTGTCGTAAATTAAACGAGAGGTTGAATTGCTTAGAACTTCCCATGCACTGTGTACTTTGAGAAATCTCTCAGCATTTGTTTGTGTTGGTGCAAGATAATGAAATGGGAGAAGAAGAATGAGCAATGAATGATAATAAAGAGGATTTTTGGCTTTTAACATGTATTTGGGCCTGAGTTCTTTTGCCTATTTAAATGGCCATTATGTTTGTAGTTAACAAGCAGCAACAATAATACGAATCAGTTAGAAAGTTAGTTACACTTAACTAACTCTCAATTTCTCTCTTCTTCTTGTTGTTTTCTCAAAATGATCTTTATTGAATCCTTTGTTCCAACAAATTGGTATCAAAAGCTTATTTGCGATTCAGAGAGAATCTAATGGCAAACGGATCAACAACATCAACACAATTTCCAGTGAATCTACCGGTTTTCAAAGGTGAAAACTATCAACGATGGGTGACACAAATGAAAGTTATTGTCAGATTTCAAGATGTTGTAGAAATCTTGAATGATGGAATATCACAACTGGATGTAGATGCTACGGAAGCCCAGAAAACTGCGCACAAATATCAGAGGAAGAAAGATGGCAAGACGCTGTTCTTGATTCACCAGTGTGTGATTATGATGTATTTGAGAAGATAATTGAAGAAGAAACAACAAAAGGAGCTTGGGAAAAGCTGAAATCCTTGTATGGTGGAGATGAGAAACTGAAGAAGGTGAAGTTGCAGACTCTGAGAAAGCAGTACGAGATGCTTCAGATGAAAGAGGATGAATCTATTTCTGCATATTTCTCAAGAGTGGTGACGCTAACAAACCAGATGAAGGCGTGTGGTGAAGCGCTAACGGATCTGCAAAAGATAGAAAAGGTATTGAGATCTCTAATTGTAGATTTTGATTACTTTGTTGTAACAATTGAAGAGGCCAAGAATCTATCTGAGATGAAGTTGGAAGAACTTCAAGCTTCATTGGAGGCTCATGAAATGAGGCTGCAGTAGAGAAGCTCAGAAAGAGAGAAGGCAACTGAACAAGCATTGCAATCAAGATTCGGCAAAAAAGCTGAAAAAGAGAAGTCGACGCAGCGAAAGAATCTTGTTGATGATCAGAAGTCAAGCAAGAATACTGATTCGAAAGGTGTGGGAAACAAGTATTCTGGAAAGAAAGTTGACACAAAAGAGGTGCAATGTTACAATTGTCAAGGTTTTGGCCACTATGCTAGAGACTGTCGAAGAAAGAAAACTGCAAAGTCGAAAGATAGTGATGAAGCTCAATATGTACGAGCTGGAAGTAGTGATTCTGATGACGTGTTGTTGCTGGTGAACACTCAGTCGAACACTGAGAAAAACAACATGTGGTATATGGATTCAGGATGTAGCAACCACATGACTGGCAATAAAAACTGGTTTACCAAGTCAGATGAGTCAGTCGAAAAGGTGATAAAGTTTGTAGATGGCAGGTGTAATATGGTGGGAGAACTAACTTGGGATGTTTTGCGTTTGATAGCAATTATTGCGGTTAGCAAAAGTCGCCACCGACTTTTCTTCTATCCAAAAAGGAAATGGTGAAAAGAACAGGAAAGACCTTTGAGATATTTTCTTGAGTTCGGGGATAGATTATGAAAAGGGAATGTGTTAGCACCCTTTTCATCCATAGTTATCTATGGGCTCTTAGTTGCTTGCTAGATCACTTGGCTGCTTCTTTATCAACCCTATTATGACTTTATTGGCTGCTTCCACTTGTCCATTAGCTTGAGCATAATAAGGAGTTGACGTGAGTAACTTAAATCTCATTTCTTTTGCAAACTCTTGCATTTTTCGTCCTGTGAAAACTGAACCTTGATCCGTTGTGATACTTTATGGTATTCCGAACCTGTAAATTATTTGCCTCTGGACAAATTCCATAATAGCCTCTTGATCAACATTCACTAAAGGAATTGCTTTGACCCATTTTGTGAAATAATCTATACCCACAAGGATATATTTCTGTCCTTTGGATGATGTTGGTCGAATTTCACCAATTAGATCTAATTCCCATCCTCTAAAAGGCCAAAGCTTAACAATTGAGTGTAACTCACTCGCAGGAGCATGTTGAATACCTGCATGAACTTGGCATTCCTCGCATCCTTTAGAAAATTCTATGCAGTCTTTGAGCATAGTGGGCCAATACATTCCATACCGAAACAACAACCATTTCATTTTGTGACCTGCTTGATGTGCCCCACATGCCCCACTGTGCACATTGGACAATGCTAAATATGCTTCATTTTCTCCTAAACACTTGAGTAAGATACCTTATGGGATTTTCTTAAAAAGTTCATTCCTTATTAGGACATAAGACAATGCCCTATATTTGATCTTTTTCTCTGTACTTACTGAAGGTTCTTTCAGGTAATTTACTATGGGACTTCTCCAATCTGTATCTGCCAAAGTATCAATATTTAGTACTTCGAATTCTTTCTGATCTGCATAACCCAGTTTCAAATTTTCCAAGTCTAATGGTGATAATTTGGTAGCCATTATTCTGTCTCTTGTTTCTATGAGATATTGGAGTTTTTCTCTAGATGTCTTATATCCTGAAGCTATTTGAGCCAAGTCATTTGCCTCCTGATTATCAATTCTGGGAATATGTTTTATATCCACATATTCAAGTTTCTTGAGTAATCTGTTAGCAATAACGAAATACATGATCAAATTTTCCTTAATACATTTGTATTCTTTGGTTATCTGTTTGATGACCAGCTCTGAGTCTCCACTAATTTCGACTCTGGTTGCCCCCAATTCCAACAAAGCTTCAAGTCCCGCAATTAATGCTTCATACTCAGCTTCGTTATTCGAACAGGGAGGACCTTTTAACTTGTACTTGAATTTTGTTGGAATTCCCTCAGGAGAAATTATAAGGATTCCAACACCACTCCCATGTTTATGTGTTGACCCATCGAAGGATAATTTCCAAGGGTGGATCTCAACATAATCTAACGTGAAGTCCTCACTCACAGAGTGATCCACTATGAAATCTGAAACTACTTGTCCTTTCATAGCTTTTAAAGGCTTGAAGGTCAAATTATACTCAGTGAGCGCTAAAGCCCATTTGCCAATCCTGCTGTGCATGATTGGTTTTGAAAGCATATGTTTAATAACATCAAAGTGAGATGAAACATAAACATCAACTGGTTTAATATAATATTTAAGTTTTGTACAAGAGAAATACAGACAAAGGCATAGTTTTTCAATGCTACTATACTTAGTCTCTGCTTTATTTAGGACCCTACTAAGATAGTAGATGGCTCTTTCGACGCTATCATCATTTTCTTGGGCCAACATACTACCTATAGTTACATTGGAGGCAGAGATGTACAGCCTCATTGGTTTTTCTTTAGAAGGGGGTGCAAGTATAAGAGGATGCATCAAATAAGCTTTGATTTTCTCGAATGCCTCCTGATGCTGCACAGTCCATTCAAAATTCCCTTGGTTGAGACGGAGGAGTGGAGAGAAAGCCTGAGTTCGCCCACTCAAATTAGATATGAATCTCCTTAAAAAGTTAATTTTACCCAATAGAGACTGTAACTCTTTCTTTGTTGAAGGAGGTTTCGTCTCCATAATAGCCTTCGTCTTGTTCAAGTTAATTTCGATCCCCTTCTTGTGGACCACAAAGCCTATGAAATCCCCAGCCTGAACAAAGAAAGCACATTTAAGAGGATTCATTTTTAAGCCATGTTTTCTCATTCTTTCGAATGACTGGCAAAGGTGAGTCAAATGATCCTCATCAGAGACAGATTTTACTACTATGTCATCTATATAAATATGCATGAATGACTCAATGAAATCATGAAAAATGGTGTTCATTGCCCTCTGATATGTTGCCCTAGCATTTTTTAGTCCAAAGGGCATAACTACCCATTCATAAGTGCCTAAGGCGCCTGGACATCTGAATGCAGTTTTGGGAACATCATCCTCAGCAATAAAAATCTGATTATACCCAGAGTATCCATCTAACATACTCAGGTATTCGAAACCCGCAGCAGAATAAATCAGCATTTCTGCTATAGGCATGGAATATTCATCTTTTGGGGTGGCAGTGTTTAAATCCCTAAAATCTATGCAAATTCGTAACGAGCCATTTTTCTTAATAACAGGTACAATATTAGCAAGCCATTCTACGTACCTTGTGGTCCTGATAAACTTGCATCGAAGGAGCCGTTCCACCTCTGCCTTTATTTTTGAGAGGATTTCTGGAGCGAATCGTCTAGGCATCTGCTTGATGGGCTTATTGCCATCCTTGATTGGAAGCCTATGTTCTACCAGTTCCCTCTTTAAACCATGCATTTCATTGTAGTCCTAGGAGAAGCAATCTCTGTTTTGTTTGAGAATTTCAACCACCTTGCCTTTTAGACTGGGACTAAGTTTCACACTGATGTACGTAACCCTTTTTTCGACACCATCCCCAATATCAACTTCCTCCAAAGGATCTTGGGCCAACATCTCAGCGCTTGATGACTCTGGATCCTTCTCGAACCCCAAGGGCTCTTGATCATAAATGGCATCTAGTCGTTGATCCACCAGTTCAGAAGTTTGTCCATCATATGGTGAGGGTGAATGGTTTCCTTCAGGATTTTCTATTTCTTTTTTGTCTATGGCTTCGACAGCCATGTTTTGTATTTCGGCTTCGAGAGCCGTTCTTCGTTTGTTCTCAGCCAGATAGGCCGAAATCTTTTGGTAGTAATTTGACTCAATCATAATAACCTTCGCTTGCCCAGCCAGTTGGCCGTATCGTCGAAGTCTCTCCATCTTTCTCAGTCACCTGCCCATCCCACATGATTTCCCTATCCCATTGGAATCCATTGGGACGCAGGGTTAGGGAATAATAAGCGTTCTCATTGGGCTCGAAATATTCCTCAGGTGGGTGACATGGCCCTATGTTGGCCATATTTCGATCGAAGTTTCTTTTGTCCACATTGTTGATTTCTGTCATATAGTAACTTTGGTTTGCTTCTATGTTTTCGACAATTCCATCATCTCTCCACAACACCAGCCTTTGATGCATTGAAGAAGGCACTGCGCCAATTCCATGGATCCATTCCCTGCCAAGCAACAGATTGTAGTTTGCTTTTGCAGCAATGACCATAAACATTGTTGGTCTTGTGAGGGAACCAACTGTCAAGTTAACTTG